TGCCTAGAGGGGGTACAGGTGAGGTTTGCCTCTGCCTTGACCCTGTGAGCCATCTCTCCAGCTCAGGTTTCTGATTTCAAAACAGACACAGCAACAGGTGGCTCAGTGCTTAAGAGCCCTATCTGCTCTTCCAAAGGACCTGGGTTCAACTCCCAGCACCCACATGGCAGCTCACAACTGTCTGTACTGCCAATTCCAAGGGATCTGACACCTTCTCACATAAAATAAAAATTAGATAAATTACATAAAAAAGTCAGGAACCTGAAGGTGGGGCTGTTGTTCTCAGGGTGTGCTTCCCTTTGGGGTCCTGTTCAGGAAGCCTGCTGCCCCAGACTTGGTTTTTGGTTTGTTTGTTTGTTTGTTTTTTGAGACAGAGTTTCTTTGTGTAACCTTGTCTGTCCTGGAACTCTCTATGAAGATCAGGCTAGCCTCCAACTCCGAGATTTTCCTGTCTCTGTCTCCTAAGTGCTGGCATTAAGGGCGTGTGCCACCATGCCCCGGCTCAAGCCGGCTCCTTAAAACAACATCTTTCCTGTGGCTGGTCAGTTACAGTGGTGAGGATGGGCAGCTGTGATCCAAGTAACGCCAGCTACTAAAGGCTACTGTGAGGTTCAAGAGATGAGTGGGAAGGCCTCAGTCATGGCTAACATGGCGACATGTGGCCAGGTAGATCAGGCTGGACCAAGGCCCCCAAGAGAAAGGGTCACAGAGCCCTGTGAAACAAGGATGAAAATAGGGTGGGGCTTTGTCTTGAGGCTCCTCTGACTACCCTGGGGAAGTGGGAGTAAGAGACAGGGGTCGTTCCGTAGCTTCTCCAAGGTTTTCCCACGGGTCCACACGTGACCCTTGTATTCTGAGGTCTCCTGAACCTAAGAGGCAAGGCCCTGCCCTGCTCTGTCAACAGGGCCCTCAACAGGGCCCTCCTGTAGCTCTACTAGTGCCAGATGCTGCTGCGCGCGCACACACACACACACACACACACAGAGAGAGAGAGAGAGAGAGAGAGAGAGAGCGCCTGGCCTCAGGATTCCTGGGCTTGCAGCCAACCTTGAGACCATGCCCAATGAAGCCAGGGCATCTGCTGCCCTCTGAGGGGCCTGTCTTGTGGAGAGGAGGCAGAAACCAAGGCACAGACTGCTGCTAGAATTTGTTTTCAAAAATATTTAATACCGTAGATTTTCAAAGTCCATCATCTATTGAATAAGTCAGTTCACCAGTAGCACACAGTCCCAGCCTAGCATTGTGAGCTGCCCACAAACCCTGTGTGGACACACATACATAGGGTGCCAAGAGGAAACGGAGGATTATTAGCTCTGGCTATGCCAGCAGTGGAATCATGGGACTTGAAGTTTATTCTTTAAGTTTTAAGTTTAATATTAATTAAGCTTCTTTTTCCTTCAGTATATATGTAATGCTTCCTAAATGAAGAAGAAATTTTTTCAAAGGCCAAGTACCTGCTCCAGCTTTCCCTCCTAGCAAGAAAAGAAACGTCTGAACGTCTCTCCACCTGCATGCAGACACCATGGGCACAGGACCACTAGCAAGATACAGGAGGGCCATCGGTTAGGGCCATAGCTGCCATCTCCTCACCATAGAGACCCCAGGGCTACAGCTTGGCCCTCCTCACAGGCAGGGAAGGGAGAAGGCGGTATTTCCAGGAAGGCCGCACTGCCAAGTCCATTTAAAATGAGATACTGTTTGCTTCACCCACCCTCACAGGCAGCGGGCGCTGAGTGTTCTGTGAGCACATCCGAGCCTTGGTGCTGGCAGCTCTGCTCCGCTGAGCTCCAAACCTGTGCTGCCTCTCTTCCTGTAAACTGTGGGGAGTTTCTCCACAGCGGATCCCCCACTTTCCTGCGCCTAGTCACAGGAACAGCACTGTACTCAGCAAATATCCAGCCGTATCCAGACGTGCTATGGTGTAGCCATGAAGATGTCACCAGTCAGTCCTGCCTTTGTGTCCTCTGGTGGGTTTTTGTTGTTGTTGTTTGTTTTTGGAAACAGGGTTTCTCTGTGTAGCCTTGGCTGTCCTGGATTCACTTTGTAGACCAGGCTGGCCTCAAACTCACAGAGATCTGCCTGCCTCTGCCTCCCCGAGTGATGGGATTCCAGGGGTGGGCCACTGTTCCCAGATACTCTGGTGATTCCTTATTGCTCTCAGGGGCCTTTGGTGATGCTCATTTTTGCTTCTAATGTATAACCTGAGTGTTCAGAGATAACCAGAAAATCAGATATGGTCCTTGTGACAATCCTGACACCCCAGGCACTTTATATTTCTCTTCTAAGACCTTTCCGTTTGGTGTCATTCATGACGGCCTGGTTAAATGTCTGGGAGGATGTGACTGCCAGGCATTTGCTCTGCTGGGAGAGCAAGTCCAGCCCCGCACTGTGGCAGCACAGAGGCTGCATATCCCAAACACTCATTTCATACACATGGCTGCCCCCAGCCAAGCCAGGCTACGCGCTGGGCGCTGACAAGATCAAACATTGATAGCTCCGGGGCTGTAGTGCTGGGAGATTCATTGGGTACGGTTGTGAGTCCCATGGCCAAGCGTGCCTTTGAGAGTGGCCAGGCAGGCTGGCAGGTCCCCTGGCTGGAAGAGTCTCTGGAATAAAAAAACGCTGCCCCCAGTTGAAAAGGATACCTCCAGCAGCCTGGGTATTTGAGGCTTAGTCCTAGGCTTCGTACTGCTACTGGTGGTAGCTGTGGCTAAGGAGGAGGTTTTCTGGTCACGGGGATGTGTCATTGAAGGAGAGTCTGGGATCAACCTGCTCTTTTCCTTTTCTTCAGCTTTCTGTCCTCCGTGAGCTGAGTGGCTTTGCCCCGCCTTGCTCAAGGCCACAGTTTGTGGCTTCACCACCGGGCAAAAGCAGTGGGGCCAGCTAACCACAGACCTCTGAAACTGTGACTCAAACTGATTGTCTCCGGTTATTTTGTTAGAGTAACAGAAAGCCAACTTCATGTTACAGATGGGACATTTAAGCTTGGGTAAGAAAGCTAATTTGTCCAGACGCTAAGCAAGTCAGTGTCCTGACATTCAGACTAGTGCCTTGTACAATCCCAGCCAGCCTTTGTTTGAAGCCAGAAGCTCTTGATTTTTTTTAAAAGGTTTACTTTTATTTTTATGTATATGAGTGTTTTGCCTGGATGCATGTCTGTGCACCATATACATGCAGGAGCTCCTGGAAGCCAGAAGAGACCATTGCGTCCTCTGGAAATGGAGTTAGACAGTTGCTAGCTGCCACGTGGGTGCTGGGAATGGAATCCTAGTCCTCTGGAAGAGTAGCCGGTGCTTGCTCTTAACTGCTGAACCATCTCTCCAGCCCACAGAAACCTGAAGCTTTTGGGGAACTCACCGTCTTCCAGATATCCTGGGCCCATTCGTTGTGTAGATGGAAGAGTCTCCTCCTCTGGCCTCACACAGGAAACCCTCCCAGGTTCAAGGGGAACTCACTCCCCCCAGCCTCACTCTGGCTGCTAGTCCTGCCCTCCCTGAGGCCCACCCAGGGGTACAGAACTCCACAGAAGTGCATCCCTGGGCACCTGGGTGGGTCCACCTCCGCTGGGTGTGTCTCTAGATGGGGATGGGCCCAGGACCTGCTCTTAATGACACAGCTTGGGCAGCTGGACTCGGTCCCCGCAGGTAAATTACAGGCTTAGCAAGTCAGAAATCAAATAAACACTCCAGCTCCCAGCAGCTGCTCCAAGGAGAACAGTGGTTTCAAAACCTCCCCACCCAGCTCAGCCTAATTACCCCCTGCTGGTCCCCTGGGACAGGGGCCTTCTCTTTGACTCACAGGTCCCAGAAACAGGATGGGGCTGCTGGGCCCCCAGGGTGACGCCAACTCGGTGACCAACCTGTTCTTAGTTCACAGACATAAGCAAACGCTGACACTACTCCCCTTGCCCCACGCCTGGTCGGAGGGCTGTCTAGTCCCTGTGCCCTCGGCGGGATAGAAGGCGCTTCCTAGAGAAAGAGGAAAGCCAAGTCCTTTCCTGGGAGTAGTTGTGTGGCCGTTGTGGGTCTGTGCCAAGGACACATGTGGAGGGCTTGTCCGGGCACGGCTTGCAGGGAGATCACTGGTGCTGGCCATCAGCTAGAAGAAGAAGAGGCGGGACCTACTATGTGCCAGCCCGAACCAGTCACTTTGGTTGTGCTCTTGCTTCTTGCTAAGAATTCATTTTGTCACAATGCCCAGCCCCAAACTGGTGAGCATGGTAGTGGTCATGCAGGGAGCCGGAAGTACCCAGGGTCCTAAGGACCCAGGATTCTAGGCAGAAGGGCAGGCCCAGGACCCATGTTGTAAAATGTCCCCCACCTTTACTGTAAGCTATGAAGCCCAACTGGATGGTTCTTTTTATTTTCTTGTTTTGAGATGGGGCCTCCTTATGTGGCCTTGAACTCGTAGAGAGCCTCCTGTCTCTGCCTCTCTGGGGATTAATGCCTCTGCTGGGATTAATGGCATGCAATACCACAGCTGGCTCTGATTCTTTTCTAACAAGCTAACTCTGATTGTGAGTATAGCAATGTACTGGTCTCTCTCTCTCTCTGTGAGTGTGTGTGTGTATGTGTCTGTGTTGTAAATGTTCTGTACCATAGTGAATGGTACAGAACCCAGATCAGCCAGTTTCAACCTCCAGGGCCTTCTTAAACCATCAGGGTGCGCCAATCTGGGCTGGGGATGGCCAGGGGCCAGTCTTCCTCATGCGACTCTTCAGTGCTGACCCCAGACCCCTCAGTTAGCACAGCTCTGGAATGCCCGTGTGCGTTTAGTCTGTGCTTGGGGTAGGGGGACTGAGAGGGGAGGGCAATCGGCCCCAAGCCCCAAGAAGGGGAAAAAAAGAGCTGGGAAAGGACCAAAATTTCAGCAGGAAGTAACCAGGGGAAGTGAGGGCCTCCCTTTGCCCCTGTCTGAGCTATGATGACATATGAGGTTTTCCTGCCTCTGGAGAGGGCCTGAGCAGATGAGTAGGTCGCAGAAGGGCTGCTGGTCGGCGCTCAGTGGCAGCCACAGGCCTTGACCACCATGTTGCGGTGCTTTCGCAGGATGACATTGTTGCTGCTGTCATAGTAGAGCACGGAGGTGGCACTCAGTTTGGTGGGCGCGCAGCATGCCTTGGGGACGACGTCCGGTTTCATCAGGTGCACCTGGCAGGGAGGGAGGGGATGCGGGCAAGGGCGTGAACCTGGTGTCCTCCTGAAAGACCTACCCGGCAGAGCTCCAGCTCTCTCTGCCCCAGCTCTCTCCTGCTTCCTTTCCAGCAGGCCTTAGCCCCCGTCACCAGCTCAGTGTCATGCTCCACCTTTGGCTGGGAGCGGGTCCCTCCCTGAACATCTGTCCTGCCCACTGGCCTCAGAGCACAGCCCAGGCATCTAGCTCGGCGGGCCTGACACAAAAGCCCATTGGCGTTCTTGGCTCCTGGTTCGCTGTCACATCTACTTCTGTTCAGACACAGAGAACCCTACTGGTCCCCAGCACTGGGCGCCTGTGGGTGCCCTCTGCGGTGCTCCTTCTGGGGGTCTCACCACCACTACGCTGTGCTCCACTACATCCCCAACAGGCATAGCGCTGTGTGCGCGCGCGTGTGTGTGTCACACACTCTGCAGAGTGACTTGCTGTTCATGGAACCAATGTTCTAGAACCATGATCCTCACAGCTGCTGCGGCAAGGCTGTCTTCGTAGGTGGCGAGCAGAGACGGCATGGGTTCCCCCTGGCTGTTTGACACTGCCACTTGAAACAGGTGCTAAGCCAGACACCCCCTGTCTAAAGCAGATTCTGAATGTCTCAGCTAGTAATTGTTTTCAGCCTCTAGACAAGCTCATTCGGAGACTTGGCAGGACCGGCTGCAGTTCAAACTTGACTCCTCTCACGGCCCTCACCAGAGGGGAGGCTGGAGGGAACACCCCCCCTCCCCCGCCGTGTATGTTCAGCTGTCCAAAGCCTCGACTAGGCTTCCCAGGTCCTGGGAGTGGGGTCTACATGAAGCAGTCCAATGGGCACTCTCTTCTCACAGCCTTTGGACTGCACCCCAGCTCTGACTGGACTAGTGTGAGGCAGCAGCTTCACCAAGGCCATGGAGAGAGGACAGGCCTCTGGGGTGACATATAGCCACCCTTGAGGGACTTGAGGGACAGCTTCTCTGTACCTCTCCAGCTACACACTCATGTGACATAGCTGTCACATGGCTGTGAGTGTGTGTGTGTGTGGGGGGGGCAAGGCTGAAATAGCTGGACTACAGAGGGGCCTTTTTCTGAAGTGGGACACTGGAGAGAGGGGTGTTGATACCATAGGATGCCTCCTTCTCACACTTGCCACAGCCCCAGGCTTCATCGGGTGATGGTGTGGAGGACAGCCTTTCATTCCTTCAGCATTCACAAACTAATTCACAGCATGTGTGGGGCCATCTGTATTATTATTATTATTATTATTTTGAGACAGTGTTTTACTCTGTAGCCCTGGCTGTCCTGGAACTTGCTATGTAGCCCTGACTGGCCTGGAACTCACACAGACACACTATCTGACTCTGCCTCCTGATTAAAGGTCTACAACACCACACCACCTGGCTTAACCACCTTCTTCTTCTTCTTTTCTTCTTCTTCCTTCTCCTTTGGGGGTGGGGGGCAGATTTTAAGACAGGATTTCTCTGGCTGTCCTGAAACTAGCTCTGTAGAGCAGTCTGGCCTTGAATCCAGAGCTCTCTCTGTCTCTGCCTCCCAAGTGCTGGGATTAAAAGTGTGCACCACCATGCCCAGCTGACCCTCTTCTTTCTGTTGCTGTCCTAGTTGCTCCATCACACCAGGGGGCTCCCTTACTTGGGGACTAATGACTTCATGTCTCACTGTCACCCTAGGCTGCTCCTCCCAGGACAGTGTGTCCAGGTGCGCAGTAAGATGCCGGTGGCCGTGGTGAAAGGATTCCTTAGCATCGGCTCAAAGCATCCCTTCTTAATTCATGATGTTCACTCCAGGGCATCACTTGGCATAGGATCTTGCTAGATAAGCACAAAGCCACGGGACACCAGGATTGCAGGAAAAAAATTCCAGAAGGTTTCAACACCAGAGTCAGCAAGCACAAATACAGGCTCCTCTCCTCTCAATACAGGCTGCAATGTGGCTCCTGCTAGAACCTGCTTCCTCGCTGAGAATGGCCCGAAATCTAAGGCTCGCTAGTGCTGCCCTCTGAGAGAACAGTCGGGGAAGAAGTGGGGCAGGGCTCTGGAGAGCTGTCAGTTGGCTGTGTGCCTGTTTAGTGTGCAGAGAGCCCCAGATTTGACCCACAGCATCAGGTAAACTGGGCCTGATAATAATACTGCACACTAATAATAACCCCAGTAGCCTGGACCGGAGGCACGGGGAGCAGAAGTTCAAAGTCATCCTTGGGACTTAATCCAGCCTGGGACATATGAGGGAAAGGAATCAGGAAGGAGTCAAGGCTCCAAACAACAGAGCAGAGGGAAGGCCCACCTCCCGGGCAAGCAGGATGAGCATACACACATGCCAGGGAGGCCAGATCCACCACGCCCATTGGGCACTTGGGCCCTGAGGCCACACAGGCCCCCGTGGGGTGCCCAGCTGTGGCATGTCAATCTGCAGTATGTCCACACGGTCCACAGGCCCCCACATGTGCATGAGCAGTGCTTGTGTGCTCATGTGTGTCTGTGCACAGACGCCCGTGTGAGCAACGACTCTTACTGGGGTTCAGGGATCAAACGCTAAAGCTGAGTCTGCAAGCCTGCAGAGCAAGCTCCTCTTTGCTGCTGGTCTTAGCACCCCTTGCCCCACCCAACCTGTTGCGGCAGGCCACTGTGGTACTGACCAGGGACTGCAAGATGGCATGGTTGGTGGCGTTCATGCAGGAGTCCAGCGGGAAGGCACACTCCCCCTCGCAGTAATAGGCTGAGTAGCCCTGGGGGGCTATGACCCAGTCCTGTGGGTGGGAAGGGAGAACTTACATCACCGGGTCCTTCCCGGCCATGGGCACAGCTCCTGTCACTGGATGACCCGAGGCTCTGTACCCACCCTCTCAGCGACCCTCAGCAAGCCAGGCTGGACCCCAGCTCTGACCTCCACACCTCACCCTCCTCTGCTGTCTCCTCCACAGCTGCCCATGTCTCCAGCAGCAGCAAGAGCCAGAGGTCCCGCCTACCCAGCCTCAGTTTCCCTGTTGTAGTGCTGACAGTTTACTGGGCAGAGGGCTCAGGCTGCCTCTATTTTCTTGGCTTTTATACAGAAATAAAGGCCCAGTAGCTCCACCTCCACCCCGGACGCACAGCAGGCTCTACAGGTGGCATTCAGAGGAGAGGCAGAAATTACCAGCCAGCCCAGGTCCCGGAAGCTGACGTAGAGCTCATGTCTGCGGCAAACGTCCCTGCCTCGGGAACCGTGGCCATCATCTGCAGGGAAAGGAAGGTGCACAGTCTATTCAGGGGTCCCACTCTTCAGAGCTTCCAGGGGTACTCCCGGTGTGGGGGTGACGTGACAGGAACATTTACAGTGAAGGACAACAGGAAACTAAAGCATTGGAATCACAAGTTCCACTTCCGGATCCCTGCTCATTCCATGACCCAGCAAACACCCCAGCAGGACCCTAGCACACCCCAAGTCTCTTTCCTCTGCAGACTGCAGCCCACCCTCCCTGCCAGGCACACCCCAAGGTCAAGGGACTCCCATCAGCTCCACTGGAAAGATCGCTTTGTAAAGAGGCCTCTGATGACGCTCAACCCCCACCCTCACCAAAGATCCCTGGGAGTTTGTTGGGGTGCGGAAGCTCGTTTGTTTTCTTCGGCTGCCTCCTCTTCAGTGGCCTCACTGCCCGAGGGGCCCGCACAGGGCTCAGGCTCGCCCTGAAGAAGGTGACCATGAAAGGCTGTCTGGAGCGTGGTGCTTGCTGTCCCAGCAGACCAGCCAGGCCAGGATCCAAGCTGTGGCCTAGGACAGAGACAACAGAGAGGGGCTGGGGGGACCTGACTTGGGGGTGGTGGTGTGGCAACTATGAACCTCAGTTTCCTCGTGTGGAGACCAACCCGAGCACTCTGGCCAGCAGGTCTGGGGTGGCAGGGACGGGGACCTCAGGAGCCACAACATCCTTGTTGGTGATAACCTAACAGACCTGGGAACCATTTGACACGCGTCTAGGGATTTGCCCATTAACTTCTTCCTCACTCAGTCCTCACTGTAACCTCCACCTGCCTCTGCCTCCTGAGTGCTGGGATCAAGGGAGTGTACCAGTACCACCCTACCTATATTTAATTCTTTATGGAAGACAAGTCATAGTTACTCAGAGATGACCAGAGTCCACTGATGGGGATGGTTAGGTCTGGGGCTCCCTTGGTCCAGTGACCCAACACCCAAGTCCTATCAAGCTGTACTTTCTGGGGACTAGAAGGTGTGGTTCATGACACACCAGCTCATGGCAGCCTCTGCAAGCTTGCTCGTCCAGGGGTAGGGCATTCACTGCCCCTCTGATGCCCAAACCAAGGCCACAGGCTGGACAGGGACAGAGGTCAGAACAGTCACAGAGTTAAGGGTTCAGTTCACATCAGGCTCATTCCTGTGCCAAGTGTGTGTTCACCAGGCCAGCCAAGAGCTTCAAAGAAAGGAGGGGGCTTCCGGGAGACAGACCAGACAAGGCTGGTCTTGTCCCCAGGAAGAGTGGAACCTATGAAGGGGGCTTTCACCCCAGATCCACTGAGGACTCCAGAGGCCTCCCCAGCAGTCAGCCCAGAAGAGCAAGGCCTCCCCCGCCAGCTCTGGCTCTGCTCAGGCAGCTCTGCAGTGGCCCCTGTCCATCCTCATGGTATATGAGGCAGGAGGGTGGCCCGTTTGTGTAACCGAGCACACAGAGGAGGCGCCCTTGTTCAGCTGACTTCTCACAAGCACCAATGCACACAAACGTGCATCACGTGCATAGACAAACTCAGACACTAATGTGGCTCAGGGGAAGGGGTGCTGTACGCTCAGTGCCCTGGTTCCACCACCAGTGCTGAAAGAAATGTAAAAGAACCAAAGGGCTGAGGCCACAGCTCAGTAGAAGAGCACTTCCCCAGTAAGCGTGAAACCTTAGGTACAAGCCCCAACGTAAACCGTAACGGAAGAAGACACTCATATGTCCATGCACACTCGGGTCTGTTTACTGCACATGCGCTCCACCAGGCTCTTCAGTACACAGAGGTCAGGGCCACTGTCCTGTGGTGGACAGTCCACTCAAAGGCCAGCCCTTCAAGCAGCTGGGCTCCACAGCAGTGTCCACCAGCCAGGAAGGAAGGAACGAAGGAAGGAGGGAGGGAGGGAAGGAGGGAGGGAAGGAAGGAAGGAAATAAAGAAAAAAGAAAGATAAAAAACAACTCAGATCAATCTAACCTTTGACCTAAGATCCCCAGCTGCTGAGGGACACGGGCCATCAGCGCTCTAGGCTCAGCCGCATTTGTTTTCCTTCTCTGTAACTGGTCCTCCAGGCCCTTCTGGGCACACCCAGAGCAGCCCCTGGCTGACCTTCTCAGAGCCAGGCTGTGTGGGTGCTGGGGACCTCTGGGGGCTCTTGAGGCCAAGTGAGCTGGATTGAGAGCCCATGGGTGCAGCTAAGCCAAGGTTCCCACTTTACAGTCTCACAAACTAAGACCCCGAGAGAGCATCAACTGCTCAAAGCCTGGAGCACACGGCTGTAGAGCGAGCTTCTACCCTGCCCAGCACGAGGTGGAGGCCTGAGTGAGGAGGAGCAGAAGTGGAGACTGAGGCTGCCCATTCCAGAGTTCTGTATCTACAGGCCTGGGAGGAGCTCTCCTTGCCCAGGCTGGCGTACACCTTCCCTGCCAGCTCTGCTCCCTGTCCCCCATCATCATTAGACTGGGCCCTAACTAGTAGGGGTACCAGGCTGCCCAGCTCTGGGTAGAAAAGCATGGGGGGACATGATTCTCGGGGTGCGCACACACGCACACACACACATCTCTCTTACACTTTAGTTGTGAGACACAGATTCAGAATGTCAGACCCCAGAGCTGCCACACTTGGGTGAGGAAGGGAGGCCAGCTGGACTTCCGGAACAGAATGTCAGCGTGGCGTGGGCGTCGGTGGACACTGCGTCTTACTCTATGTGAACCCATGCCCGCCACTGATGAGATTCTAGACCCCGCCTACGCTAAGCCCAGGCCTCTCCCGACATGCACTGGGACCGTTTGTGCACAGTGGGTCTTCCAGGAGGAGGACCAGCACCAACCATTTTCCCAGTCTCCTCCTGCAGGACGCGCCTGCCTGCCTTCCAGGCACACCAGAGCAGCTCCCAGGAAGAAGTGGGGTGCAGGGGGGAAAACGAAATTAGGACTGGAAACCAGAGCCCAGGAGGAGAACTCAGAGGGCCAAAGCGGAGTGTTCCCCCTGTCCACAGCCCTCAATCCTGCATTTCAGGGCAGCCGTAAGGGGCACCAGGTCAGCTCCCGGCGACGTCGTCCTGCCCTCAGGGCTTTCTCTACATTTCATGATTGAGCTATGAGGGCAGCCCTGGCGCTGAGACCTGCCAGGACACCCTCCGGAGCCTCGTATGCGGAGGTCACAGAAAGCGGGAGAGGGGACCAGTGTCCGCCATGGTTTCAGTGGAGGGCTTCAGTCAGGCACAGCACACACAGGCTCGGCTTAGGGTTTTTAATCAAAATCACTCGGCTCTTGAGATATCATCTGCTCTTGAGATATCATCTATCAACCGGAAGCCCAAGGAGCCAGTGGCCCAGCGGTCAAGCTCTGCTCAGGATGTCCAGCCCGGGTGGGAGGGGCCAGGGCTCCTCAAGCGTCAGTTTGGATCTGCTGCATGGGCTTGAGGTTGGGGCACACGTTGAAGGAGCAGGCTGTGGTGGCCTTGATGTCCTCCAGCGAGGAGCCCTCCCACATCTCCACCAGCGTCAGCCCCTTCTTCCGGTCCACTTTAAACACGGCCTTCTCGGTGATGATGAGGTCCACGCAGCGCTTGCCGGTCAGGGGCATGGTGCACTTGGCCAAGATTTTGGGCTCCTTGTTCTTGGTGCAGTGTTCCATGGTGACCACCACTTTGGTCTTGTCGCCGGACACCAAGTCCATGGCCCCGCCCATGCCCTTCACCTTCTTGCCAGGCACCATCCAGTTAGCCAGGTCTCCGTACTGGGAGACCTGCATGGCGCCGAGCATGGTGAGCTGGATGTGCCCCCCCGCGGATCATGGCGAAGGAGTCGTCGCTGGAGAAGAAGGAGCCCCCGGGAATCACCGTCACCGTCTGCTTGCCCGCGTTGATGATGTCGGCGTCCACCTCGTTCTTCAGGGGGAACGGGCCCAGGCCCAGGATGCCGTTCTCGCTCTGCAGGTAGACCGTCATCTTGGGGCTGATGTAGTTGCTGGCCAGGACGGGGATGCCGATGCCCAGGTTGGCGTACATGCCGTCCTCGAACTCGAGCGCCGCGCGCTTGATGATGCGCGTCCTGGGGTTGTCCTGCTTGAGCCCGGGCGCGTCCTGGCTGTCGCGCGTGGTCAGGCGCTCGATGCGCTTCTCGTACTTGGGGCCCTGGATCACGCGGTCCACGTAGATGTTGGGGATGTGGATGTCCTCCGGGTGGAAAGAGCCCACGTCCACGATCTCCTCCACCTCCACCACGGAGACGTCGGCGGCCTTGCACATGGGCACGTTGAAGTTGCGCGCGCTGCCCCGGAAGATGACGTTGCCCGAGCGGTCGGCCTTCCAGCCCTTGACCAGGGCGAAGTCGGCGCGGATGGCGTGCTCCAGCAGGTAGTGGCGGCCCTGGAACTCGCGCACCTCCCGCGGCTGGCTCAGGGTGACCAGGTGGCCGTCGGGCGCGTACCGGATCGGGGCGCCCCCTTCCTGCACCAGCGTGCCGTAGCCCGTGGGCGTGTAGAAGGCGGGCAAGCCCGCGCCACCCGCGCGGATGCGCTCGGCCAGCGTGCCCTGAGGCGTCATCTCCAGGTCCAGCTGGCCGCTCAGGTACAACTTCTCGCACAGCGAGTTCTCCCCCAGGTACGAGCACACCACCCGCTTGACCTGATTGGAGGCCAGCAGGATGCCCAGGCCGAAGTCCTCCACGCCCACGTTGCTGCTGACGATCTTCAGGTCCTTCACGCCCTTCGTCCTCAGCGCGGAGATCAGATTCTCGGGGATGCCGCAGAGCCCGAAGCCCCCGAGCATGACGGTCGCCTCGTCATTGATGCCCTCCACCGCCTCCACGGGGTCCGTGTAGAAGTAGACGCGCCCGCAGCGGTTGCTAGCGAAGCGGCGGGCGAGGCGGTGGGGCAGCGCGAGCCGCGGTTGGCAGGCGGAGACCCCGCGTGGGAGCGCCCACGCCAGATGCCTCAGCGCCATCGTCCACGGGCCACGAGGCTACCAGGTCTGGGACGGAGAGGGAAAGGCCGGGCGCACCCTGGGAGCTTGGCCCACGCTACCTCTGCGCTGGCTGCGTCACAGAGCAGGGAGGACTCGGCCAGAGTCCGCCGCGGGTCTCACTCTGCTGAGGTCATCCTCGGCCATCCCCGGCCTGTCTCTCAAGAGCCTTGTGCGGACACTCCAAACGCTTGGTTAATGCTGCTGACAGCTGGCAGGCAGTGAGTGCTGGGCCACTGCGACTAGGAGATCGCACCCTGGGTGGGGTGCAGGTGGAGGGGCGAGTTTAAGAGCCCCCACCTTGAGGGGCTGAAGTTAGCCCAGTCTTTTAAAGCCACAGACCCACCTGTTACTCCTGCTGTTAAACTGCTCTAAACTCTCCAAGCGCCTTGCCAGTTTTCTCTATCTCAGACTGACCCCTGCCTCCTCTCTGCCCCTCTCCTTCCGAGTTATCCCCCAGCCCTTTGCTGAACCCCAGAGAGGCCATTCTCCTGCCCTGCCGTCCTTTCTGTCCTCACCGCCCATCGCAGAGGAAGCTCCCAGGCAACCCCTGAGTGGAGCAGTCAGGGCAAACCTCTGAGCAGGGGAAACGGAGGCTTCGGCACTGACTCCCAACACTGCAGAGCTGCGACGGAACCTGGGGTGCAGACCCCTCGCCCCTCCTTCCTGGTTACAGCACAAGAGTGGAGGCCTGCTGCCCAGAGAGAAGGGCCTTTTTTCCTGGAGGGGACCCCAGAGCTGGCTCTCAGGAGGTCGGCTGAGGGACAGGAAGGCCTCCCTTGTCCAGGACCTTACCACTGACAGCTCAAGAAAGGCCAAGATGGGGCTGGAGAAATGGCTCGGCAGTTAAGAGCACTAAACGTTCTCCTAGAGGACCCGGGTTCAAGTCCTAACACACCCACGTGGCAGCTCCCAACTGTAACTCCACTTCCGGGGTTCACGGCAGCAGACATGCATGTGGTACACACGTGACTCCAGCAGGCAACATACCCAGCACATACAATAAGTAAAGAAATGACTAAACGAGAGAGAAGCCGAGCACGGCCCAGTGTGCCGGCCCTCTGCACTAGCCCAGCAGCCTCTCCTGGAACCATCTCCCAAGAACCCCAGGGCTGCTCCCTGCTGAGTCCTGGGGCCTCACCTTCCTCGGTTTCCACATAGAGGCGGAGTCCCAGGTCCTTGTTATGGTTCAGCAACCAGCGGTCACTGGCTGCCGTGATGTCCAGCACCAGCCAGCCCTCGTCCCCAGATCGGAGCGTCTGAAGATCCAAAAAGAACAAGTCAGACTCCCTGTGGACATGAAAGAACAATTAACCAAGGGTCGAGGTCAGCATGGCTGCCTGTATCCTGTGCCTGCCTGGGGGAGCACTTTCAGAGCCTCCTCCTCGCTTGCTCTGGGCTGGCCTCCTTGGGTACATTTCGCTGATAACCAACCCCCGACATTTTACTGTGTCCGTGTGCTGATGAGGGCACTAGCTCAGGGGCCTATTGAGGGCCACAGCCTCTTAGCAGGACAGGAAGTTCCAGGCCAAGTCCTTTTCTCATGTCTGAGGCTCCCATCTCCTTTCTTGGAAATGCACCCTCTGGGCAGGACCCTGGCCAGAGCCTAGAGCATGAGGTGGGGTGGCCATGTGGGCAGAGGGAAGGTACCTGTTGGAGTGCTCCTGGGCCACCTCGAACATGCTGACGTGGAGGGTTGTGTTGAGCGGGTGGGGGCTGGGCTCTTTGTATATCCGGAACTCAGCAGCCGTGACAGTCTCCCCGGCAGGGATCTGGCTTAGGTCAAAACGGAATTCCTTCCAGTGTGGCTCCTGGTAGCCCAAGGCTCGGTCACGCTCCACTGCAAGACAACGTGGGGGTGGGTCGTCAGCAGAGGCCAGGGTGGCCTGTGTGGGACCCAGACAGCCTGGGTGGGGCCAGGCCTGCTGTGCACACAGGCTTGGTCTCCCTGGGTGGACACCAGGCCCCGAAAGGCAGGGGAGTGGGAAGACTCAGCAAGTGCTCAGCAGGCCCCCAGACCCACAGATGAAGCACAGCGCCTCCTCTCAGAGCTCAGGCCAAGCACCAGGTGGTCACTGGTCCCAAGGCAGAAAATCACCACAGTTCCAGGGGAAAACCCTGTGGACAGGGCCATGACTGGCTAGATTTCAGGGGAGCAGAGGACTCCCAGGGCCTGCCCTTGATCTGACAGCCAAGCTGGGCTGTTAGGGCTGTGTCTGAATGTCCCACAGTGTCCTGGGAGACGCTTTACAGCGTGCAGGCCACATCACAAGGTCAGCAGCAGAAGGACCTTAGGGAAGGGAGGGCCATCCAGTGCCAGCAACTAGACGACAAACAGAAGGAGACGGGTGGGCAGGAAGAGGAAGCTGTGACACCTGAACTGATGAACAAGAAGGCGTCTTGCCAGTGGCCAGGCAGACTCTGGGCAAGACTGTGGGTGTGGCTCTGGCTAGAACCCATCGCTGAAAGCAAGGTCGTGCCAGTGGGAAGCCACACGGTCCGAGCGATCCCCGGCATGACCTGCTCTGGTGAGGGTATCTAAGGTGATAGCTGAGGAGGGGCTCGGGCTGGAAGCTGACCTTGCTCCCTACAGCGAAGGCCACGGGTTCAGGACATGTGCCCGCTGCACAGATGTGCCAGGATGGTATATTTTGGTAGCCTCACTTCAGCCCCTTGTCACTTTCAAATGCCAAAAATCTGTGTTTCCGGAAAGAAGGGGTAGGGAGCCGCCCAGCACCTTCCCCAAAACCCAACAGAGATTTTAATTATATGTTTTAGTCTTTTTTTTTTTTTTTTAAACCCTCTCTGCGGCTATGGGCTCAGTGACCGCAAGCCAGGTTTAAAAAAGCACCAGGCCGAGCGGATGCGAGAAGCACTTCCTGTCCTCTCCCTAAAGTCCTGGCCCAGGGATGGATGGAATACAGATGTGCTGGGCAGAGCCAAAGGGCAGGCACATCTGGGCTGAAGCAGGTGGAGAGAGGGAGGAACAGACAGCGTCCCACAGCCCGGAAAGATGCTGGGCACGGAGCACGTTCCCACCCTAGAGATGTGATATGACCGGGTAGGTGTTTGTCTCTCGTAGGTAGACAGTGTTGAGGGCGGGTTCCGAGCCTTGATTTAGTGTTTCTTCCTGCTGTGAATATCTATCCTCCTGTGTCCTCCTCCCTCCTACGTACTTACACACCCACAGTGCTGGCGACGATGTTCGTGGGTTCAGGGACGGCCCAGCACCTCTGCTACAGGACTGGGCCACAGACCCTGCTGTCCAGGAGGAGGTTGGCCCAGGAGGCTACCTGTGACAGGGTGTGGGCAGACTCAGTCCTTCCGGCACATCTTCCTCTTTTAGGACACGGTGGGGGGGGGGGGGCACACGAGTGCATCCTGGGAGCTTTATCTGAGGGCCGATTCGGAGCTCCCTTAATGGTATGTGTGGCCTACACAGAGTGTCTCGAAATACTCTTGGACTGAACTGGCCCACATGTCTGGACTTCTCTGCTATGGGTCTGTGAAAGTCAGGTCCAGGGATTCCAGCCCAGGAAACTCTGCCTTGGCTGGTCCGGACAAGCAGGGGGACTGGGAAGTTTTTAGGAAAATGGGTGTGATTCTCATCTGAAGTGGATCAAAGGTCCACTTCACCTGTCATACCAAAAGGTCAAGCTTCTACGTTGACCATGGTGCCCACTGAGATTTGGAAGGCGGGGGCGGGGGGGGTGCCGCAGAGCAGTTTCTGGGACCTTGTTTCCCTGTGGGGTTTCTTGAACAGCTGTCTCTGCTTTACTGATGGCATAGCATGAGAAGTCAGGCTAGTTTATGAAGAACTGAGGCTCCTGATCGAAGCCCTGACCTTGGCAGCTCTCGGGGTCATCCCCTGTGTGAGCTGAGCATCTGTATGTGAACCGAGCACGGTCATCCTCTCCATGCAGGGCCCCAGCAATACAGGAGCTGTGGGACGAGTGACGGCCACCTGAGTTCTAAATTCTCAACTTTCCCCATGTATCAATGTGACAACCTCCAGAGGACCTAATGGGGACGGTGATCCTGAGTGCAAAAGCCACGGAAGAGCAGAAAGACACGTTCAACTAACCTTTCCTTCCTTCCTTCCTTCCTTCCTTCCTTCCTTCCTTCCTTCCTTCCTCCCTCCCTCCCTCCTTCCCTCCCTCCCTCCCTTCCTCCTTCCCTCTCTCTTTCTTTTTTTTGAGACAGGATCTTGCTATGCAGCCCTGGCTATCCTGGAACTAGCTATGTAGACCAGGCTGGCCTTGAACTCACAGAGATCCTCCTGTCTCTGTCACCTGAGTGCTAAGATTAAAGGCATGCCAGCTCAATTATATTTTTTTTAAACAAAAGTATGGGACAACACCACCCCACCAACAAAAACCATATCATGAAAATACGTCAGCTCGAAGGCATATGGAAGGTTTCAAGGTACCTCCTTTTCACCCATCTGATCTTCGGCAGTTCAGTGGGATCTGAGGCTATGTGATGAGCCTTTAACACTGTGCTAAAAGAACACCGTAAAAACATATCCCTTTCCATGAATGCCCAACCCTCACCTTCCCATAAATTAGGGTCTGGAATCTCCCAAAGATGCCGAGACTCCAAGCGACAGCACGTAGGCATGGGACCCATGAATCCTAGCTCTGAGCAGGATTCCTTCCAACACAGCAGCCTGACATCATTTGTTGGCGAAAGCAGTGGTGTAAAAATGGGCTGGAATTAGCCAAAAGCAAGGCAGATGTGGGGCTGGGGATAAATAAAAGCTGCTGTGCTTCCCGGCCCCTGGTGTGGAGTCCACTGGGAGAATTTGGGAAGGGGCATGGCCTGGAAGATGTGGGTTTTCCCAGTAAAATCCTGTTTCTGGCTGTGATGCTGACAAAAACCTGGCTAGATTCAGACAGACTGGGGGCACACTGCCCGTTTCCTGGCCACTGTCCCTCATCCTGACCATCTGAGATACGCCCTGCCAGGAACTCTCCTCGGTGACTCCCGGAGGAACCGTTCACGTTTGGAGCAAGATCTCTGAGTAGACTATCTCCCCCTTTGCAGTTAATAATGGAGAGTTGTGGCCGGGAGGAGGGGTGTCCAAGAATCTCACTTTGGGGTATGTGGGAGAAAGGTGTTGAGTGTGTTCTTCTCACGGTTCTGACAGGTCCAGAAAATCCTTCAATGTCACTGGCAAAATGGCTTAGAGACTAGAAGCATTTACTGCTCTTGCAGAGGACCTGGGTTCAGCTCCCAGCACCCGCTTGTCACCCCAAGCCCCTGTAACTCCAGTTCCCATGATGTGGTGCACACATATGCACTCGGGCACACACGTATGTAAAATAACCATGTATTTGTTAAATCCTTCAATTTCTGCATTCATTTTCCTAGCGACATCCACAAAGATTACCTACCTCAGTTATTCATCACACTTTCACATTTCATTCATTCATTCATTCATTCATTCATTCATTCAGTGTGTTCATTCTCTCTGTGTGTGTGTGTGAGATCCTTTTTTGGGCTGCTCTGTCACAGACACTGTTCCATAGAGTCTGGGGTGTTGTAGCTGTCCACAGCCTTTGCAGGATTGCCTTCCCTTCTGCAGTAGCAACGACCAAAATTGACTCCAGAGAGTGTCCAAAGTCCCCAGGGAGGCGAAACTGACCCTGGCTGGAAACCACTTCCTTTGAATCATTCTAGAGCTCTCTTCTGCCTTGCTGGGTAGGATGTGTAATTCTTATAGTGGGCATCTAGCGGTGATCAAGAAAAATCAGAAATTCTTTAACTTCCAGATTCAACTTCCAAGAAAATGTCCCAAGGACAGTCACAAAAGCACAAAAAGAGCTGTGTTCAAGGCCGTGGCAGCATAAACAACCCACACAGCACTAGGAGGCAAGCTTCGAGCTGAGAACATCTCAGCAGGATGCCACACAGCTGGAAAAACTGCTGGCGGGGCTGTGTGGTCTGCAGTCTGCCATGCCATGTTCTCCAGAAACATCACAACTCTAGAAAGAGCAAGGCGAGCACTGTAGGTGATACTTTTGCCTAATAAAGGGTAAGAACAGAAACACTCTGAACGTGCACCTACATCATGCACACACGTTCAGACACATGTGTAATTGTGTGTACATGTGCGTGCTCACATATGGTGTACGCATGTTAATTTGTGCACCTGTGTGCACTCATGGGGAAGGCAGAACAGGATGTTGGGTGCCTTCCTTTACTGCTCTCCACAAGGACAACGTGTCTCACTTAACAGGAAGCTTCCCAGTTCAGCGAGTCTGGCTGGCCAGCAGGCCGTAGGGACCTGCCTGCCTCCGCCTCCCAGTGCTGATAGCATATAAAGCTGTCCTTAGCTTTTTAACATGTTAGGGAGTCAAACTCAGGTCCTCACAGGCACAACAAATGGTCTTAAGCACTGAACTGCCGCCCAGGCTCTGTCACTGTATATTTTAAATAGGAAACAAAGCCATAAATGCATGAGAATGGTGAAAGGGAACAGGAACAGTAGAGGGGGAGGAAAAGGAAGGCTACTTGCAAGATCCTCGCTTTACACATTTTGTACAGATTTCACAAAATATGAAACAAAACCCAACTTAAATACAAGAATAAAGAGCACACCTAGCAAAATTCAAACTATTTTTTATTTGAACTAATTGTACATACTGAGTTGGTGGCTTAGCCTCAATGAGAAAAAAAGTTTATTATTATTTTTTTAAACCAGAACAATTTGACTATACATTCTTAGGGAAGGAGCTCAAGGACAAAATAAAAGGGGCCGGAGAGAGCACTTGTTTAGAGTGTTTAAGGTGCATTTAGAGCACTTGTTGCTTTTGCAGAGAACCTAGGTTCGGTTCC